ACTAACCGCTTGCATATAGGTTGATATAAGCCGAAACACATGAGTAGCGTTGAGATGAGTTAGCAAATCCTGCAAAAAAAATGCGAAGGCACGGTTGACAAGGCGAGTGCTTCCAAGGCTTTCCGCATTGTCGTCAAGCCTTATACGGGTCAAGATGCTTTTTGTAATCTCTCGAGTAAAAACATCCAGACTATCCACGAAAGCATGACTGGCGGATTCCGCATTAATCTTGCACTCCACGATCAGAGTTCGAATCTTTCGAGAAAAAAAAGAGGTAAAAATTTACAAAATCATTTAATAGGTGTTTGCATGCCTAAATAAGAATAAGTAACGATTCTGGTTTTATACCCCTGACCGACCAAGATTTAATGACTGATTCTAGCAAGATTTGACTTTCTACTTCTGAAACTAAGTAGAAACCCTTAAAGCACAAGTAGACAAACCAGAAGTTCTAAAAAGAACCATAATGTCTCCTCGCAAAAGTTCCTAGAAAACGGCGTGTCAGTAGCAATCTGAGCGATGAGACATTGAAGTAATTCTTCATGCAGTTTCTAAAAAGGAAAGCTTCAGCATTACAAAAATAAAGCATGCATTTTCGCACGTTGGATGTTATTCATATTACCCTGGTTACAGGTTCACTAGATCCGCGGAGGTAGTTGGATACATCATCAAACCAACTAAGTCCCATCATTGGATACCCAGAGAGAAGGTATGGAAGAACTATAAGAGGGAAACCTTAACTATATAGCATTGTTCAATTATTTATATTTTTGCATATTTAAGGACTGCATCACAAAATAACGTGCTCGAAAAAAAAGCGATTTGACAGTGCAAAATGTTACTATTGAAGGAGTGATGGGTGTAACCCATGGATTGTCCATAATCGTATCTAAATTCGTCTTTGGATAAAAAAGAGGAATCCAATATTCTCTACCTTGGCCTGAGGCACATGCAACTGATTTTACAACCACATCAACTGGCAGTAGGTTTAGGGAACAACTGATTGGCATGGTCAATACCCAGTAAGGAAAATAAGAGTTGAACTATGTTTTGAGAGTTACTACTGCAAGGTCAGCGAAAGAAGCCTTTGTGCCATGCTAAATGGTTTCACGTGGGAAGTGGTCGACGTACCATGGTCAGTGGAGGACCTCCCGATACCTGATAAATATGCACATATAAAGTGGTTACGTCCAGTGGATTCTTCTTCCCAGTCAGAAAGACCCTTCGATATGCGATGGATGTAGAAAGCCAACAATGTGAGCAAATTTTGAGACGGTTTAGTTTTATTTTGAACCAGGCAGACTCCCAGAGTCTGCAGCAGTCCATCCATTATTGGTACCAAATGCAAAACAAGGTAGTTTAGTTTCGCCTTCTGTAGGTGAACCAGAAGTGGTGGGGGAGAAGATCTAGAAGTTGACAAGGTTAATAGGGTTTAAGACAAACCTCGCTCGTTCTAGTGGCTCTAAACCAACCAAGTTTGAAAGAAAAATGAGTAATCCTTACAGGGAATCCAAGGCTGGTTGAGTAGAAAAGATATCATGTTCACTCAGAGACCCGCAAATTTCTTCAAAATTCGCGAAATTACAAGCGTGTATGATTGAGGCCACACAATCATCGTCTTGGTACAAACTGCTTACTGGAACTACACGGAGATGAAAGGATGTTTTGATAAGGGCATTTAGTTCACCACTTTCCATGCTATCCTGAGTTGAAAAATGAGTTGATGATGCAAAGGGTTTAACAGGATGAGAGTTACTCAAAGGACAAGCTAACCTTTGTCAAGGTCTCGACATGCCGAGGTATCGTTTGGGCCATTTTAGAGGTTGGTTGATCGTGAGTTAAATAAAGCGTCTCTTCTCCAGAACATATTTGATCGTTGATGAGAATTGGAAGCCACTAAAATTAACATATGGGTTCAAATAAAACAAAGTTGTGTGCGAACACATGATACTCGCGAAACTTACACCATAAGTGCAATGAATATCACGAAATCGGCAAAGGCAACCATTAGGGAGGAAACCTTCTCATGGTCATATCAGGTGGATCAAGTATTGAATAACACAGAAGCCTACCGAATAGCCGAGAACGGACTCATTGGTATCACATGCAGGCGAAATTTCGACATGAACAAAAGTGAAGAGCAGATGGTGACTCGAATTGAGTCGTTTTGGGAGAAGCACCTTGATCTCATCCGTGAATTCCGGTGATCTGCAAAACAGGAGCAGTAGTAACCACCATACTTTAATCATGGAGGAAAATTTGAAGGTAGAGCGTACTCTAAATCCCAAAATTAACTAGCAACTGGTCAACAAAACATAGTGAGACACTCCAGACAGCGTCACTCATTTGGACTTAAGGTAAACCTCGACTTCATCTATGTATGGTAACAGAAAGTTTCAAAATTTTTATCGAAAAAGGCAGAGTTTTAAGTCAGTATTACCTGGTTTTCGGAACAACATGAGTTCGAACCTCATTTTTTAGGATGTTCGAAGAGCTGCTATCAGGGAACGCCTGTAAAACGAATTTAAAAACATCACATTTCTACTACTGATAGTCTGTTCAGTAGTTAGGAGGTCATTTGAACATTGCGCATCAACTTCTCATCCAAATAAAGCGAAACTTAAGTGCAATCCAAATTTTTAAGCCGAATTCAGTTCAAAACAGTTAAATAAAGTAATATGCGCACCGAAATTAGGTGATTTCCATCGGCATCAGAGTACCACAGCTGTATCACAATTTCGATGTTTTTTGAAACGCTTTTGGACATACCGAAAGTGACACTGCGTGGATATATGAATAGAAGGTTCCTAAAACAATGCGATAAGAGTATAGTTTGCAATACTTATTAAAGACGACTTTAATGTAACTAAAAACAGAAGGGTCACTTACAAGGCAAAAAATTTTAACTGCGGAAATAAAATTAATCTTTTAAGAGCATTCTCAAATCCAGCGAGCACATTGTAGCACTTTAATCGCCTATCACCTTACTTTCAACTCTTCAGCCAGCAGATGGTACCTCTGCTCAATGGTATAACCGCAGGGCCAACAATCATGCACACTTTGTAATTTCACATCTAATATTTTAATTAAATAAATGCTATCTGCTGCGCAGCGTCTACCTTAACGAGTCAAGGTAAACACTTATGTGATTAAAGAAAATAGCTTGTGGTGTTCAAAGTTCATGTTTGTGATCGCTTCACCCAAGAACTGTGCTATGCGCCTAAACGGAAAAGATGCTCTCTATATTGGGCGAGACTGAAGGCAGTTAACACGAAATACTTGACGATTTGTCAAAACATTGATTTTATACTTTCGCATAGTGACATAACCTCCACGAAATGCCGATAGGCCTTGTGCCCTCAGCAATTATGTATTTTCGCAGCCTCATTTCTTCCCTTCTAATAAGACGAATCATGTGGTAATTAGATGATAGGAAAGTGAAACCAATCCCATCAGTAACTACTCTAATAGCTGTCACCGACTGTAATACCTCAACTCGATGGACGAAGAGTACATTTTGTCAATGGTAGAGTCAGCAACAGCTCCTAACAAGACTGAAAGTGGCACCTACCTGTTTTAGGTCTGTTTTCTATGCCACTTATGTAGAGATGTCAGTTCATTAAATGTGCGATGTATCTTTGAATTTTACTACCTAAAGGGTACTCAAATAGGTACAAATGAACAACGTAGCAAATACTTTAGAAACCGACCTTCATAGACTGTCTGCTTTTGGGCAAGTATTCCGCCGACTATTAACGAAATTATTATGAGGAAGGGGTTTAGCAAATTACCAGTCGAGTACTTTCTTATGCATTTCCAACTCCGATGACTAGCATGCTTGACAGTAGATGTTATTCGCTCACTATCAACTGCGCTTAATGATAGATACCAAAGATTAAACGAGTAAAGCGATGGGAACGGCGCTCTGCGCGTCGGAAATACTTATTATGCTCTAACATTGCATCGTCTTAGTCCCCTAGGAAGCGTCGGAGCATTGCATGCGATTATGACTTGGCAAATCACTTATGAGAATGCTGAGCTGACGAAGAGGAATGGAAGTGACCATTTTGAATGCAAGTCAATCCAAACCGTAAATCGACTTTAATCAGCCACAGTGGATTCACGAAGTTGGATAAGGTACGGTGAAATCACCGTCAAATATGTTCTGTTAGAGCAAATTATTGATAACTTATGGTTTTGTAGGGGCATAGGGAGCACACCTTACACATTTGTAGCCCTGAGTCATCGACCAGGAAGATGGGTCTGCTATCCACAAAGTTTGTGTGAAATAAGCAAGAATTAAAACTATACCTTGGAAAATTGAAAGGAAAAACTCTTCCGATGGTGGGAAATTCGACAATCTCCTGAAACCTTGTTTCTGAAGAGCCATTTGTGAGGAGATCCTCGCCTTCAGTAGAGCGGAAATTGGCTCTTTGAATGTGGTGGGAGAGTCCACAAGGCGATACAATTATTCCCGTCATTGAAACTTCCATTTGTCCGCTGAACGTCTTTAATCGACGTAGAGGATGAGCGTGCCCTACTCGAGTGAGCATATCGTGTATCCAAGGGCTAATATTGGGAGTGGAGGATTGGAGTTTGAAGGCTTCCATAATTGTCCGCTCTATCTCACTGGAGTGGTTGCCAGTAGACAAATCCTGAAAAATTAAAATATTTGAATGTACGTGTAACGCAAATTTTTACGAATCTATAAAAACACCTTTTTAAAAAAATTTCGTGTGGTCAATTGAAGATTCAGCTCGACCATTTTAGGTGAGTCCTTTAAGTCATCCGTGCTAGACCTCGACAAAGATAAAGAATCTTCCAAGGGTAGCGAGGTCGATTCGCTACCGGTAACTTCTCGAATTTGCAGGTCATTTGGGGAACTTTCAGATGCGTAGGTGGAGAAGCGACGATGGTCGGAAGTAGTCCGACTACGCAGAGGTAGTTGAAGTGGGTCACCTGCATCAGAGAGGAGCCGTGGTCGTCGAAATGCTTCAGTTATTTGTTGGTTCTGGCCTTCTAAACAAATAAACCACGGCGTTGTAGCCGACGAAATGAGTCAAGTAACACAATTAAAGTCAAATAAGACGTGTATGTAGAAAACGAAAGGTCACATTTAGATCCTAGCAAATCTTGAGAAAGCAAAGGCAAGAAATTACTTCTAACCTCTTCGCTCCGCCGATAAGTATCTTTCAGAAACGCTAAAGTGCCGCCGTCTGGGACTCCTTTGGGTTTCTTGAGACATCTGGACCACTGCAGTGGAAAGATGCACAGCTGTCCATGCGATGGGAGTCCAATGACAGTCACCTTCTGAGATATTGTCAGCATTTATATTGGTCACCGCTAACATTCCGGTTGGCTAAATAGGCGTTACCGCGATAAGGGGAGAGAAAAACAGCCAATGTGGAAGAGCAGTGATTGTCCCAAAGGTTGAATCAGAGGAACGAGACTCTTACAGAATAGTTCAAAAGTTAGGCAACGATTGCAGACCTAGTAAGCCAACTTTTTAATGTATATATCAAAAGGCAAAAATGGAAACGGAAATAATTTTATGAAATAAAAGTCAACCTTTGAGCTGGTAGAAAGTAAGCCCCCATTTCTTGCAGTAGAGCCTTGAGTTTGCAGTCGTTTGCTGACCTACAAGGAAAATGACATAAAATTAACCAAAGCAGCTTCGTTAGAAATATTTAAGTGAATTGAATTTACAAACTAAGCGTCATATAAAGCAAGGACAGGGAAGATAATGAAATTAAAGGGTACCTCAATAACA